AAACTAAACCCTAAACCCTAAACCCTACTTAGTGTTAACGTCCTTCCGCCGGGCCTCGGCCTGTGCATCCAAGCCGGACTCGATCTTCAGTGGATCGGAGTTCTGGATCCTGACATGGGAATTTTGGTGTCTAAGGGTCTAGCGTTTAGGGTTTAGGTTCAGAGGTTTAGGGTTTAGGGTTTAGGGTTTAGGGTTTAGGGTTTAGGGTTTAGGGTTTAGGGTTTAGGGTTTAGGGTTTAGGGTTTGGGTTCAGAGGTTTAGGGTTTAGGGTTTAGGGTTTAGGGTTCGGATCTAAGGTTCAGAGGCTTAGGGTTTAGGTCCTAAAGGAAACTACAGGTGGGGAGTTTAGGGTTTATAGTGCTTCTATATGGCTTCTATAAGGTATATAGACCTTCTATAAGGCTTCTATAGCGGTAACTACCCACCTGAAAATGTCCTAGACTAAGGGTCTAACGTTTAGGGTTCAGGGGTTTAGGATTAGGCTTAGGGTTTAGGGTAGGTTTTAAGTTCCTGAACCTCCTAAGAAAAGCTGTCGAGCGCAACCGAAGTTGAGTTCAAGTTGGGCTGTAGGTACCCAGCACTGGCGCCAGGATGCCTTGCATGCTAAGATCGCGCATGCTAACTTCGCGGTCTCGGGACGACTGAATTCCTCTGTGAACCCTAAACCCTGAACCCTGCCACGCTTGCGAAGCGAGCCGTCTGCTGCTGAACCGTAAGAAGTCAAAGATCGGAACGCGTGTTTCATTGCGGGTCTCGGCGCATATCACTCGTCACCAGCAAATTACTAAGCCGGGCGCTTGAAAACCTTCAGCCATACTCTGTCTGGCCCGTGGTGTATGCATGTGCTGAGCTGCAAATCTTGCTAAAGGACTTTCGGCTTTGGTCCCGAGTCCTTCGTCGTGAGTCTGAGGTGGATGATGCTGGATGTTTTTGTGCGGCACAAACTGAGGTGAGTTTTGATGCCAGTGCATGTCCACACATGCCAAGCTCTCCTTGTATATAACTCTGCTAGAGTGTTCCTCCGAGTTGGCGCAACAAGAGTCAAGGACATGTTTCGCTACGACATCGGCTACAAGTTTCGCTCGAATAAGCGAGCATCTTAAACTCCTCAGTGATGAACTTTCATGCATACTATAGGGGCCTTAATATCTAGAATAGGGTTTGGGGTAGAGTCTACTATACTTATAAGTTATACCAAGGAAGCCCCAAAACCCTATTCTAGTTATTAAGGCCCCTACATTACGAAGCAAATTCTATCTTCTCCAAGCACGAGAGCGCGGGACATCATTCCTGGCGTTTCGAGAGTGTGGGACCATCCTAAACCCTACCTTAAGAACCCCAAACCTACTTTTTTGCAGGGTCTCTATAAATCCCATATTAGGGGTTCATAATAAGAACCTACAAAAACCTGGGTTTTGGGTTCTTAAGGTAAACCTTAAACCCTTAAACCCTAAACCCTAGACCCTAAACCCTAGACCCTAAACCCTAAACTCTGGACCCTAAACCCTGAACCCAGCACCACGCCTGGACCAGATCACGGCGCTGACGTTCCGGACCTTGCTGACATCCACCTCGACGCGAAGTCAAGAGTTCAAGGCGTGGGCTTGGGGTTTGGGGGTGTAGGGTTTCGGGTTTAATTAAGAGTTTAGGGGTGTAGGGTTGGTTTAAGGGTTTAGGAGTTTAGAGGTGTAGGGTTTCGTGTTTACAGGTGTGCGAGATGTACCGGTGAACCATGGCTGATGCGGCCGGACAGTCCCTACAGAAACAACTCAATCACCGACTAGGGTTTAGGGTTTAGGGGTTTAGGGTTTAGGGTTTAGGTTTTAGGGGTTAGTGGTTTGGGGTTTAGGGTTTAGGGTTAGTATCGTAACAGAGTCGCTTCTCCGGAATATGGATTCTGCGAGAGTGCTATGCACATGCTTCAAGTACGCTTTCAAGATCGCCTTGGTCACGGCGTCCTCGAAGCTTACCGGGCCGGTGATGAATTTGTGCTCGACTACAGAGAAGCACCGGGACTTGTGGCAGTGCAAATGCTTCTGAACTGTGAAGTGTTCTAGGATCCTGCTGTGCTTGCCCCCTTCGACCAAGAACCTAAACCCTTAGCCCCTGAACCCCAAACGTTAACACCCTTAATTCCTAAATTCCTAAAACCCTAAATTCCTAAAACCCTAAACCCTAAAACCCTAAACCCTCTGAAGCTGGAGTCGTCCCGGAGCTTCTCATGCGTCACAGCTTTTTCGGGGATCTTGCCTCGAAGTCTCGAAGGTTAGGTTTAGGGTTGAGGGTTTAGGATTTAGGGTTTAGGGTCAGGGTTTAGGGTGGCGGGGGAGTCTTTTCACCTTCCTCCACTTTATCCTCTGCCGCCTTTCTCCTGCTCCCCTTGCTCCTGCTCCTAATGGAACCGCGAGCCTGATAGGACCTCTCCGGGCAACATCTCCAGCAGGGGTCTAGCCCTAAACGCTAAACCCTGAAACCCGCAACCCTGAAACCCCAAACCCATAAACCCCTCAAGCCGTAAACCCTGAAACCATAAACCCCTCAACTTAAAACCCGAAGCCCTAAAACCCTAAAGCACTTTTGGGCTTAGGTTTTAGGGATTGCAGGGTGCAAAGCTCAGCGGCCCCAGAAAGCCGCCCGAACTTTTTGGTGAGACAATACATACCTTAAAATCAGATTAGGGTTTAGGGTTTAGGGTTCAGGGTTCAGGGTTTCAGGGTTCAGGGTTTGGGGTTCAGGGTTCCGGGTTTAGGGGTTGAGGGTTTAGAGGATCATGCGACTTAGCAAGTGGGGTTATAGGTACATGAATTGTGGGTATAAGTATTATCGCTGTGCCTAGTATAGTTACCTTATTGAGAACCCCACTGACTAAGTCCCGGAACGACCACCCTGAGCCCTGACGCTTGAAGAATAGTGCATACGGTTGAGGGGTTTACATAGTTGCCGACGTGATAAGCCCCTTCAGTTCTACAGGGGAAACATCTTATCCCCCCGAAACAAGTGTAGAGTGCGCCCATTCAGCTACTAAGTTTCGGGCTTAGGGTTTTATTGGGTGTTTAGGGTCTGGGGCAGAGCTTCACACAGCCCTGCTTGGCGATCAACCGTTTCAGTAGCTGTCCTATCAGGAGTTGATGTCCATTACCTATCTTGCTTTCATGTAAGCTGTGCTAGAGCAACCAAACCACCATAACCCTGCGCCCTGCATTGATTTTTGGAGTCGATTTCTTCCTCTGGAACCAAACCTACCGATCCTAACTACCACATTAGCCTTGTAGCCGTGAAACCCTGAACCCCAAACCCTAAACACTGAACCCTAAACCCTAAACGCTCAACCTTCAACCCTAAATCCGAAACCCTACCTTAACCAACCATAACCCACTTTTTTGAAGGTTCTTATTATCAACCCTAATATGGGATTTATAGGGACCCTACAAAAAAGTAGGTTCTGGTAGGTTAAGGTAGACACTGAACCCTAAACCCTGAACCCTGAACCCTAAACACTGCCCTAAACCCTACACCCTCAACCCTAAACCTGACCCGCTGGACCCCGAACTGTCAATCTTATGGCACTCGGCCCTCTTTGCTGGGCACGGTTTAGGGTTTAGGGTTTAGGGTTTAGGGTCCCTTCCAAAAAGTCAAACTTCTGGTCTCCTTATTATGGTTCATATAGAAACCCGAAAAATTACAGTCCCAAGAGCCAACCAGAAGAACACCCAGTTTGGGCCATCCGGCCGTGTCCAGAATCTCCGACTTCGACTCCGGCGCGATGGTGGCCCAAGCCGCTTTGGCCTGGACAGGCAACCCTACGGTTGGTGATATAAATCCTGCAATACCCGTAGTAAGGAATATGCCATAATTCCCATAGTTTAGGGTCCTCAAGGTCATGCAGGATTAGTATCATCAACAGTAAGGTTAGGGTTTTAGGGTTTAGGGTTTAGGCGGTTTAGCCTGGACAGGTACTTGGAGGTTCAGGGGACTGAGTAAGTAGGGTTTTAAGTAAGGTAAACATAGTTATTGAGCGCCGGGCGATATTCGAAGGACAGAATGCGGACATATGTAGAGGGGTATCGGTTGGGATTGGTATCGGTTCTCCACAGAATTAGTTTCATTGCCTATATGGATCATATGAGTCTTCATGATCCACAAGGGGTTGAAGCTTTAGAGCAGGGCGAGAGGGAACAGTTCCGCATCTTTTTCAGCGCTGCTGGCGCTTGCACTTCTCACGCTGCTTCGCCTTGGCAAGTCTCCGCTCGTCCCTCTCGCACATCGCAGCGAAATCATGGCTTCTCTTCGTCACCTCCGTATCCTTCGAGAAATCGGAGTACTGCGAGGCAAAGCGCCGAGTGATCTCGTTGCTTGTACCCAACTCCAACGGGCCCTTTCGCCAGGAGCATTTGCCAATAACCCCGGCGCCAGTCTCCGATGTCTTCTGCAACAGCGGTCTTCTGGATGTCATACACAACGCTGTTGTAGCTCTTCGCATCGCTGAAGACCCAATTACGCAATTCAACTTTCCTCTGGCCTTTCAAGGTCCTCGGCCTGCTCTTTAGATATTATCTACTTATACCTCCAACTAAGGACTTATAACCCTACTTACTACGTCCCCCGATCCTCTAAGCAGCCCTAGCTTTAGGGTTTGGGGTTTCGGCTGTTGAGGGATTAGCGCTTGGGGACTATATGGATTCGAAATCATTCGACCAGTGAAAGTTAAAGACTTAAAAACCCTACTTACTAAGTCCGAGTCCCCCGATGCTCTTAGCAACCCTAGTTTTAGGGTCTGGGGTTTAGGCTCTATTTGGGGGGTTGTATTATAGATTGGAAATGATTCGACCTTTGAAAAGTTTCCCTACTGAGCCACCCTCGAGGTTTGCAACAAGCCACCCCTTGAGCATGCAACGTAAGGGGATCCAATGTTAATGTTTAGGGTTTAGGGTTT